CAAACCGGTAAGGAGGAAGTCAAGCTATCCCTATGTGCTCAAGATAGGAGCCTATACATAGAAAACCCAAGAAACTCAGCCAGAAAATCACTGGAACTGATTGAGAGATTTAGCATCGTGGCAGGATACAAGATAAACATACAAAAATCAGTTGGATTCCTCTACACCAGTGAAGAGACTGCTGAAAGGAAATAAGGAAATCAATACCATTTACAATAGCTACCAAAAGTATAAAATACTTGGGAATAAATCTTACCAAGGACACAAAAGACCTGGAAAGTACAAAGAAAACTATAAAACACTACTTCAAGAAACCGTAAAAACAAAACTCAAAATCATAAAAAAACAAAACAAAACAAAAAAAAAACGACCAGGTTGGCTGGTCTGATAGAGCTTGGTGAGACCCCTGAGACCATGGCCTCTGGTTATGCTTTAGGTCTGGAACTGAACTCACTGGTGTGGCCTCCAGCCAAACAACAGACAGGCATATGAGGTAAACATTTACATCAGGTAGATACACTCCTTGGAGTGCTCAGATCAATCGTGGGAGAACAGAAAGGCAGTATTTGCACAGGGAGACAGCTGGAGGTGGGAGGGGTGCATGGGAGCAAAGGATACAAGGAAGAGCTACCTACAGGGAAGTGGGGAGAGAGCTGTCACACTGTGGGTAATTGCAGTCAATGTCACGAAACAAAATGTGTATGAACTGCTGTATGGAAAATAAATTTGCTCTGTAAAGTTTCAACCAAATCACAATAAAAATTCAAAAACAAAAACAAAAACTCTGCAATATGCAGATGACACAACCTTGCTTACTGAAAGTGAAGAAGACTTGAAGCACTTCCTGGTGAAGACTGGAGACCTCAGCCTTAAGTATGGATTACACCTCAATATAAAGAAAAAATCCTCACAACTGGACCAGTAAGCAACGTCATGATAAATGGAGAAATGACTGAAGTTGTCAGGGATTTCATTTTACTTGGATCTACAATCAACACCCACGGAAGCAGCAGTCAAGAAATCAGATGACTTGTTGCATTGGGCAAATCTGCTGCAAAAGACGTCTTTAAAGTGTTAAAGAGCAAAGATGTCACTTTGAAGACTAAGGTGTGCCTGACCCAAGCCATGGTATTTTCAATAGCTTCGTATACATGTGAGATCTGGACAGTGAATAAGGAAGACCACAGAAGAGTTGATGCTTTTGAGTTGTGGTGTTGGCTAAGAATGCTGAAAGTACCATGGATTGCCAGGAGAATGAACTCATCTGTTTTAGAAGAAGTACAGCCAGAATGTTCCTTAGACGTGAGACTGGCCAGACGTTCCTCGTGTGCTTTGGTCATGTTGTCAGGAGGGATCAGGCTCTGGAGAAGGATATCATACTCGGTGAAACAGAGGGTCAGCAAAAAAAGGGGAAAGCCCTCAATGAGGTGGACTGACACAGTGGCTGCAACAGTGGGATCAAGTGCAGCAAAGACTGTGAGGACGTACAGGGTTGGGCAGTGTTCTGTTCTGTTGTATGTGGGGTCACCATGAGTTGGAACTGGCTTGACAGCACCCTACAACAACAAAAGTCTTGGAAGAAGGAACTGTGGTGGCACAGTGGCTAAATTATTCAGCTGCTAACCAAAAGGTCTGCAGTATGAACCACTAGCCGCTCTGCAGAAGAAAGATGAGGCAGTATACTTCTATGAAAGATTACAGCCTCGGAAGCCCTATGGGGCAGCTCTATTCTGCCATATAAGGTCACTATGAGTCAGACTCAACTCGACAGCAACAGATTTTTTTCTTTTTTAAAAAATCTTGGAATTGACATACCATCACTTCTGCTGAATTCTACTGGTCACACAAATCCAGCCCGATACCATGTGGGAGGGGACTACGTAGAGTGAATACTGAGAGGAGGGGCTCACTGGGCCATTATGGACTCTGCTGGGGCACCTCTGGTGCTGTGGGAGGTCTAGAAACTGAGGCACAGTTGAGATTGTGTTTTTGTTGATGGGCTGGATCTAGTTTGTAAGAGAAAGAAAGGAATCCAGGATGGCTTCAGGACTGCTGACCTGGTTTCTTCTTTGGGCAGGGCTGGGAGTGGGAGTCAGGAGCTATTTTTGGACCCCTTACATCTGAGATCCTATCAGATCCATGAGTGAACATATCAAAGGGGCAGGGAGGTTAATATACAAGTGTGGAGGCTAGGGAGAGCTCCAAGCTGGAGAGATCAAAATAGGTCTTGCCTGTTTATGGGTGACATTTAAAATAGTCCCAGGGAGTAGGGAGTATAGATAGAGAAGAGAAGAGGCCCAAGCACTAAGTCCTGGGGCCCAAAATTTCTAGTTGGGAGAGATGAAGAGGAGACAGCAAAGAAGACTGGGAGGAGACACGTGAGTTGGAGGAGAACCAAGAGACAGGAAGCCAGGGGGAGGAAATGTCAGGAGAGAGATTCGTGCTGCTGAGAAGCCCAGGAGGCAGGGTGGCATGGCTCCGATGTTCCGTCAGGACTGCCAAGGGGGACCCAGATTTCTAGAGACACATGGCCACTGTGTTAGGACAACAGAGAGGGAGGAGCTTGGAGGGGGAAAACTTTTGGGGGGATTTTGAGGACTATGGCAAATAGGGGATGGGAAAGAATAAACCCAGTCAAACATCACCTACTTAACAACAATGATTAAGAGCCCACTGGGTACCAGGAACAGTTCTAAGTACTGTACTTATCAGGCTATTTCACACTCCCCATGGAGTAAATATGATCATCTCTACTCCAGGATTTTGGAAATTGATTCATAGATGAGACGCGTCATGGGCTTGTGGTCACACACAGCTGGCCAGTGGCAGCACACCTTGGCTGAGGACCCCGGCCCAGGCGCTGGGCTCCAACGAGCCAGTCTGCAGCTGGAGGGAGAAGGCTCTCTCCTCCCTGGGAATTGAAGGAGGAAGACAGTGACCAACAGCAGTGTTGTTTGGAGTTCTCCCCTCTGCTGGGCGATTCCCGAGGCCGTGGGAGGTCTAGAACAGAGGAGCCTTTGAACTCTTGGGGCTGACTGAGTGGGAGATCACAGTGCTGCTCCTGGCAGACGGCCCCAGGCAGTGCTGACCCTGGGACTCTCCCAGTGCAGTTTACGGTCTCTTCTCCGACCTCGACCTCGCTGGAGCCCGGGACTTCCCCTTCTCTCCAGGCAGGAGGGGAGCCAGCAGGGAGGCAGGCCTGAACACTAACAGCTCATTGGTTTGTGCATTATCGCCTCCTTTTATTAGGAAACCCACAAGGGATAGTCCTGAAGCTAAGGAAGTCCCCCAGCCCCAGCATCTACAGTGTAGGAGGGGTTGGCACTTAAGTTGCCCAAGGAACACTACTGCTGGCCTTCACCTCCAATCACTCTGGTCCAAACACCCATCTCCTCCAGGTTTCTGTGAAGTCAACCAGAAAACCATGTGGTCGTCAGTGAATAGTCAGCACTCACTGGACATCTGTCCCTGGGGTAGCTACCACCCTGGTTAGAAAATGAAACGGATCTGTGCAGAAAAAGGCCTATTCTCCAGTGAAATAAGGGGGACATGCCTGGAGTAAGTTTTATTTAATGAAAAGTGGACAGCCTTGACCCAGAATGGTTCTTTTTAAAGCCAATAATGAGTTTTAGAAACATCTGCTGTAAAGGAGTGAACAAAAGATGGGGTACACCGTCAGGAATGTTAGGCAACCAATCCAGACTTCTTTCTTTACTGAGGTGAAAATACACACAACAAAACCACCAACCCAACAACTTCCACGTGTACAACTCAGTGGTATTGATGACGTTCTGCAGGCCATGCAGGCTTTGTCACTGTCCTTTTCCAAATCATGCTACTACCGTAATCAATCCACATGTTTATCTATTTAAGGAAAAACAAACAAACCCAAACCACCGCCCCCTGAAAAATCCCTGAAAAAGAACTCTTACATGGTCTAAGGTTAAACAACAGAGTGTTTGTCAGGGTGTTGGTTACCAAAGACCCACCCAGAGTGTGTCTTTTAAAAACAGCACTAAATATACACTTGATTTCAGTGCTTAGTCCTGGCAGTGTGAGGATTTAGCTGGGAGACCCTGGAGAGTCACATTCTTTCTGAATCTCACTTACGAAATAGAGATAATAATTCTGATTTCACAGGGCTATTGTGACAATCGAATGAGCATCAATTTCTGTGGGAGAGCACTTGTTGTTATTAATATTAATAGCATCAGTAATTGCTACTAATAAAATCAGAATCCCTAAGGTGACTTCTAGTCATAAAATTTTATTATTAAGGAGTTTAGTTTTCCTAATGCTGTTGCTTTTATGTTAAAAAGGAATTGCTTATCTTTCAGAGTTGCACACTGATGTGGTTTAGGAGGATACGATACATAATTGGGATTTGGCTCAAAATAATCTAGCAGGAACTGTGGGTTGGGGTCAATGTTTTGGCCACATTTTGAGTATTGCTGAAGTAAGGTCATGGGTGCATGGCAGCTTGCGAAACCATTCTGCTTCCTCTTTATGGCATGGATTTTCATATGAAGAAGAAAAAAAAGAAAAATAGGGAAATTTCTACTATTAAAGCCCCAAGTGCTAAGTAATGAAGACTGCTCCTCAAGCAAATTTCATTATTAAAAGAAATAGCAGGTAGCACTCTTGACCGAATGCCAAGATGCTTAAGAATTCAAGGATGTGATTATGTTTTCAAAGGGCTTTTTAATTTATCTCTAAGGTAAAAGAAACTCATTTTAATGAAATTATACTTAAATGATTTAACTTCATCACTGGAACCCATATGTTGACCTGGAGTCTTAAACATGTCAAGATAGTTCCCAAAAGAAACGTCAGGCCATGCTACCACTTTGTGGTTCTCTAAGAACCCAGTGCTGTATGATTTCCAGTAGGTAGTTCCTCAGCACTGTGGGAAACGCTGGTATGTGCGCTCCGACTCCGGCGGCATCTGCCAGCGATGAAAGAACGGAAACCCTAAGTACATAACGTGTCCCCTTCCTTGCCTTGCAGGTGTGAATTCTCTAGGAAGTCCTCATGAGTTTCTTTGGCTTCTCCAGGCTTGGCTGATCGATACTCACTCCTCAGGGAAATCTTCCACCATCTGAAGATAATCTGTAAACGGAATAGAGGGTGACACGAATGAAGACTCACTTCCGTAGGTTTGCGGCCTGAAACAGCCCTTGGTGAGCACACAGCACTTGCATCCAGCGTCAGCTCTGGCTTTGCAGCCTGCACTCATCCCATTAGAGGTGCAGGATGGGCGTCGGGGAGCATTTTCCTTAGAGACTGTTGTTGCTGGGTGCCGTCGAGTCATTTTTAATGCATCGTGACCCCACTCACAGAGCAGAACTGTGTTTCCTTGGCTATAAATCTTTACAGAAGCAGACTGCCACATCTTTCCCCCGCAGAGCAGCTGGTGGGTTTGAACCAATGACTTCTGAGGGGCAGCCGAGTGCTTAACCAGTGTACCACCAAGGCTCCTTCCTGTAAAGATGACAGCCTAGGAAACCCTATGGGGCAGTTCTACTCTGTTACAGGGGCTCGCTACAGGTCGGAACTGACCCCACGGCACCCATTTCCGGCACCCATTTCTGTGGAGTGGTGGCTCACGGTAGAAAGACTGTGCACTCGGGAGCGTTTCTGGTTCCCTCTCTATTCAAAAACACATCCGCTGCAGCTTACCCACAGCACCAGTCCCTTCCTCCCCTGATTGGTGTGGCTAATAGAGACGCAGGGAAACCACCAACTCAGCCCAGCGCTGGGGGCTCTGCCAAAGTCAGTGCTGCCTCTGCTTGGAGTCCTCCCTTCCCCAGCCCACCTCTGCCCCCCCCCACAGTGTTGTGAGGGGCGACAGTACAACAGCACAGGCCTTCATTCCTGGGGGGGCAATCTGTAGCGCTGAGAAGCAGGACGGCAACCCTGGCACTTCCCAGAGTACGTGTGCCCGCTGCTCAGGCTCTCGCAGACCACGAAGTCTGAATCCAACCTCCTAGTGTCCCTGACCAGAGGCTGGCCGAGGCGGTGGGATACTGCGTGAGCAGGTAGGGAAGGGGTAGGAAATCCCGTATTTTAAGTAGCATGCAAATGACACTCCTCCTTAGAGGACATCTAGGAATTTGGCATTCTTCACACTCCACTGCTCTCAGTTTTCCATTTCAAGCTGCAGAGGAATTCATGTTAACCCACCTTTGAGATCACAGGAGCTGGTAAGTGCAGCTCCCACCATTCCCCCACTGATTCAAGTCAAACACAACGGAGGCATCTTTGACACTGTTTTTCCTGTTACTCCACAGACAGGCCCGGTGATTCCACTTTGATAATACATTCTCAGGCCAGCTCCTCGCCATCTCCACCCTGGCACCTAGTCTAAGCTGCCACCACCTTCAATGTCTCCTCACCCCCAACACAGGGTGTCTGTGAATCCTCACACGTGTCCTCCCATGGTGCGATGGTTCAGTACTCCCCTGCTAAGCGGTGGTTTGAAGCCGCCCAGTGGCTCTACAGCAGAAAGACCTGGTGATCTGCTTCCATGACAATTACAGCCTAGAAAACCCCATGACACAGTTCGACTCTGTCACCTCAGGTTCCAGCACAGAAAATCAACTCAATGGCACTAACGAGAACTTGTAATTGACAGAGCGTACCTCGTCCTGCAGTTACATCCAGCAGAGCTGGGACTCCAACTAGGTGTGGCATAGCCACGTGTCTGAGGCCACATCCTCTAAACTTTTAAAGCAAGTTGGGAAGTCAGAAGCCTTTGCTCCATTGCACTCAACTCAGACAGATGAGCAAGAAGTCTCAGAGGAGAGAAGTCAGAAGTGATACATCTCCTTCCCCACAATCTTAGAAACAAAAGAAAAAACCACCCTTTGCCGTCCAATTGATCCCGACTCACGGTGAGCCCATGTGGTACAGAGTAGAACTGCTCCACAGCGTTTTCCTGGCTGTAATCATTCTGTTAGCAGACCACCAGGCCTTTCTTCTGATGGGTATAAGCCACCATCCGTTAGGTTAGCAGGTGAATGCAAACCGTTTACACCTCCTAGAGGCCTTACGACCAGGTATTATATTAGCATGCAAGGAAGTCTCAGACTGAATTCTGCCACAAGAAAGACATTTCTGAGCAAGCAGGTACCAAAGAGTCCACAGACCCAGTCCTAGAGCTCAGGGGAGCCCTACTCCTGTCCATTTTGGCAAGCTACAAGCATGTTTGCAGGACAGTTACTCTCCAAGGCAACTGCACCCCCACGACAGTGACATAATTAGCTACCCTTCTGGCCAGATCAGCAACCAAAGCCTTGGTCAAGTAGGGGAGCTGGGAACAAATGGAGCTGCAGAGCGGGGGCTGCTCACTCACCACACCGCTCACCAAACGGGCAGGGACGCTCGTACAATTCCACGTCGGCCTCCGGGCTTGCACACCGCTCATCTCTTCAACGTAATATGACTGCTGGCATTCCTCAAGCTAATTAACAAACCCTCTGGTACTGATTTAGGAGGCAGTACTTGAAGTGCTTGTCATAGTGCCTCTGGAGGGAGGAGCCCCAGGGTACAGAGTCAAGTTGACTTACACAGATAACTGTCTACAGGCAACTGTCTTCACGGAGGTATTCCACATCTAGTACAGAGAATGTAACACTGGCCTCAGGCAACGTTGCTGGCTGGCACCAGCATTCTAGCCTCCGCATGCATAGTTCATAAATACAGCGTGCTTTCTGAGGCATTATGCTATCCTCAGAGCCCTAATAGCACAATGGTTAAGCACTTGGCTGTTAACCAAAAAGTTGACGGTTCAAACCCACTCAGTGTTTCTGCAGGAGAAAGACCTGGAGACCTGTTCCCCTAAAAATTATAGCCTAGAAACCCCGTGGGGCAGTTCTACTCTGTCCCATGGGGTCGCTATGAGTCGGAATCGACTTGCACCCAACAACAGCAAGCTTTCCTTAGGTACAGTCTTCAAACTACAACAACAAACTACATTTACAGAACAGTACAGAGAGGAGGTGGAGGCATGTCTGGCCTCATAGGAATAAGCCTTGAGCTGTTGATGGTGACTTTGTTTTCCCTTTGTGAGGTTGGAGGAGGTCAGAGGATGCTACCTCCACGCCCATTGGTTCGATTTTTGTAAATCATTGAGAGGAATTTAATTTGGCTTGGCAAGATCCACCCGAAACCCTTAAAAACAGTCATACTCTTTGACTCAGACATTCTACATGGAAGAGTTTATCCTAAGGAATTTATCAAGATGTACACAAAGTTTTTTTACATGAGGATGTTTACCTTGGGTTAATTACAATGAAAAATCAGAACTGACAGAAGGGCTCCATCATGGGGAACTACCGGTCAAATGACCAAGGGATGTTACAGTGGAGCGCTCTGTCGCCAATCAGATAATTCACGCAGAGAAAATTAATAGCACAGAAAACTGTTAATGATGATTTGTTAAAAGCCTCAGATAAGTACACTCCACTGATCCAAATACTGAAAAGAAAATATATCTGCATCGAAAAAAGACTAGAAGGCTGTGGACAATGATTAGCACAAGCTATTTGATATCACCATTTAAATTTTCTTCTACTTTTTTGAGTTTTCTAAGTTTCCTACAATGAATCAATATTGATTTTGTAATCAGAATAAAATCTGTGAATAATGTTTTCAAAAGAAATCATTTCAGAACCAAAGGTTAAAAACAAACAATAAAGGCTTTTGTAGTTGCATCACCCGGGTTGAAACAAACCAACCAAAAACTGTTTTCTTAGCTGTTTGTACCAGAAAATCAAATGACAGGCAGTCTGCGTTAGGAAGGAGATCTGTTCCTAACTGTTCTGCCTTTCAGAATTTATGAGTAGGCTGAACAGGTTCTCATTTAGCCTTACTTTAGTGTAAGAAGGGAGCTCTGGTAGTGTAGTGCCTAAGGCATTTGACTGCTAAACAGAAGGCTGGTGGTTCAATCCTACCAGCCACTCCTAGGAAGATTGGGCAATCTACTTCCGTAGTGATACTGCCTCGGAAGCCCATGGAAGGTTCTCTATGAGTCAGATCTGACTTGATGGCAGTGAGTTTGGTTTGGTTTGGTTTTAGTGCAAGAAAAGGCTCAGTGCCTTTTCAATGATTTAAAAGCTACACATGCAACAAGTGAAGGGAACTGTGATGAACAATTTGCTGGGAATGGGGTTTGGTTCAGTCATTTCAAAGTGAGGGCCCGAAGTCAGACCAGGGAAAACCTGTATGCAAAACACACTATTTGAATGAATCACAACTTCACTGAACTTTCCATCTGGAGTCCTGAGTCCTGGGTGGTGCAGACGGTTAAATGCTCAGCTGTTGACGGAAAGGTTCGTGGTTTAAGTCCACCTTGAGTGTCTTGAAAGGAAGGCCTGGCATCAGCTTCTGAAAGGTCACAGCCATGAAAACCCCGCAGAGCAGTTCCTGTCTGGCACACACAGGGTCGCCAGGCGTCAGAGCTAATGGCACGCAGCGGGTATTTTTAAGCACAGCAATGGAAAGGCGCATCGTGGAGCACTGTGTTCTGTTTCTCACACGGAGGCAGCTCCAAACGAGCACAGCTAACATTTCTCACCCAAATATCGGTGAACTGGGTGTGAACTGCTATGGTGTTAGCTTATTTCAATTCACAAATACGTACAGATTTATTGTTATATATTGTATCCCTTTTCTGAAAGCCTTAAAACCTATAAACACTGTCTTAAGCATCTTGTTCTTGTCAACAATGAATGTTTTGTCAACCTTAGGCATTTGGAGCTTGCCTCTACTCTCCCCAGTTTCACTAATCTTCCCAACGGCCTGTGAACAATGGGTGACCATCTTGCTACCAAATACCACACTCATTGCCATTGAGTGGATTCCGAGTCATAGAGACCATACAGGACAGAGTAGAACTGCCCTACATGGTCATTTCTCTGGAAGCAGATGGCCTCATCTTTCTGAACTGTGACTGTCTTGCTATGGAAGTGGAAATTAACCTCAGACAAGTTGGAGAACTTTCACCAGCTCCTTTGGGCCAGGCGAGGCTGCCCTTGCCCCGTCCTGTGCTCTTTCCCGGCCTCACCCCACCCCAGGACGGAGCCGCTCAGCCCGTCAGAGGATAAGCT